ATTCCGAACTGTGCATTTGGCCTCTCTCCCATTTCTTTCTCCTCGGTGTGTGCCCCCTGCTCTGCTAAGATCTGCTGTCTTTGTAACCTCCGCTGTGCACATATGCTGGCTCTCCCTCTCCCCTCCCCACCATCCCCTGCTTCTGGGCCATCAAGTGTCCCTTCCCTTCACTCCAGCATTTTTGCCAGGGGGCCCATCAGCCAGCCAGAAAAGGAACAATTTTGCTATGGCCACTGCTCCCGTCTTCATGCTGCCGGCTCCTCTCCACCGATCAAGGGGAACCCATGTTGCTCCCGTAGCACAGCTGATTGGTAGCGAGAGCAAAGACGGCTCTGCAGCTGCTTAGCAACTGGGAGCTGGTGTTATGCAGCAAAGAAAGGCAATGGATAGCACAACATTCGTTAATTCTGCGTCTTCTGGCCCACTCGGCTGAAAACCGTGGTGTAGTGGACCAGCTGGGGCACTCCCAACTGTCCTGTCAAAAAATAAATCATGATGAGGATCCTTAAGTACAGATCTGAGAGCAATGGCGACAATGTCAAGGGCAAAACTGTCCTGGTCTTGTGTCATATGTTGTTTGCATCACACCAGTTAGAGGAAACTGCTCTGATTTGCAAGCTAAACTCATTCCATTTGATCTCTGTCATCACTTTTCTGGCTGCAACATTTTATACTCCATCACTTATAATGAGAATGCTCCCTGTATGCACTGCAGTTGTTAAAAAGGCTCTCAGGTCTCCAGCTACCATGGAATCTAGACTGTTTAATGATAAGTGTCCAGGAAAACAAGTATTTTAATACAAAAATATCCTTCCAGATTACTTCTCTGTATCTTCATTTCCTTTTGGTGCAAGCTCTGCGAGTGCCTGAATTTTTCAAATGGTACATTCTTTTCATTCTTTTTTTTTTTTTTGGTAAAACTGTACTGTTGAGGCCATGAAGCACTGAAATGTTTAGTAATCTGATAGCTTTAGAATGTTGATTAGAATTGCCAACCTTATTTCATGAGTTTTAGAAGATTGAAAGAATTCTAAAAAGTAACAGGTTGTACATTCTGATGGGAATCATAGCATTTCAATAGCAGCTGCATTTCAATAGGCAAGAAGCAACACAAAGCATTCTGCAAGTCAGGTGTTGAAACAGCTTCTTTATTCCTTTATACCTCAAGAATGATTAGATCTTTGAAAGCACTCACCACCTTACAGAGGTGGCTTTGTCAGGATACTAGCAGAAATAAAATGAAGATACATTTTAAAAGAAACTAAAACCCCAGCCCTGGCAAATATCCAACATGTCTGTCAAAAGTTGTACAGATCTTAAACAAAATAAATGTTTGTTCTGCTACTGGGTATTGCCATACATCTCTTTGCACTCCAGCAGCCAAACACCACAGCAGACTAGCGCTTCCTTGTCATTGTTCAATGCTTACATCCCATGCATCCTCAAGAGTGTGCTGGGACACAGGTGAAATCAGCCAGGAGGTTGCTTATTTTGGCTGAGAAATCCCCTAGAGAGATCTGCTGTCCTTAAGAAAAAATTAGAATTTTAATGGCAAAAAACCTGAACGGGCAAATACCCTGTCCATATTCCTACTCAGTATTCCTTTGATATTCTTAGCCTGGTTTCCTAAAAATAGAAGTCTAATGTGACTGTGTTGTTCTGTGTAATTTTTCCTCTCCTTCCTCCAATCTCTATCAAATTTGGCAGTGGGGAAGAAGTCCCAATCATATTTAACTCTTGAGTAGAGTACGCAGTAGAGGTACCACCCTGGTCTTGGGGAAGGGCAGGCAGAACTCAGCCCGTGCCCACACCAAGGGGCGGGACTGCCACCTCCTTGGCCCCTCTGGAGTTCCCAGCCAGCACATTACCCCCTGCTCTGTCAGACAGGGTAAGCAGGACGGGGAAAGAGCTAGAAGATTTGTTAGGGGGAATTTATGGACACAAATCCATGGGAGACAAAGCTTCGTGACTTTAGCTGCTGAGAGAGAAACTGTTTTAAGAAACTGCAGGGTTTGGTGGTAAATGGTAATAGCACTAGTAGGAGATTTCTGCAAGAGGGCTGATGTGCCATACTTCAACCCCTGTGAAGCACTGACGTGATTCCGAGTAAAAGAATCTAAGAGGAAGCATCATCAAATCGATCAGAATCCATCTAAAAGGAAGGTCTCAAAATGCAGTTGTAACCACTGTCTCCTAGAGCTGTCTTTTATGGGTCCTGCAACTACCTGTTTTGCACCCTACATTAAATAATGGCTACCTTATAGACACCAGGGCAGAGAAACGCTGCAGTGTGCTTCCTGGCTCCCTTCCAGCTCCTCGACTGGGCTTTCTTCCCATGGAACTGGGGTGTGACAAGAGGATGGTGTACATCCACACCTCCTCCTGACACAGTATTGACACAGCTGAGGTGTACACAGACCTGGAACCAGGAAACTCCTACAGTGGAGACAGAAGCAGTTGTTTATCTGGAAGAAAATATAAAATCATTACCAATCAAGTTTGCAGGTGACACTCAACAGTAGCAGGAGGGGGTATTATATTAAAAAAAAAAGGCCATTGCAAGCAACAATGCTGTCTGAGGACTTGTCCTTTTCAAGGGGGCCAAGTGTAAAGCCGTACGTGCAGAACAAAGAGCACAAACCAATGGTATGGCGACACCGTCCCAGGAAGGAGCAGATCTGAAAAGATTTCAGGAGCCGAGCTGGGAAACCATCTGAACATGGGCTGGTGTAATCCCTGAATGTCCAACAGAGACATCACATCCAGGAGGGCTGTGGCCGCAGGTACGATCACCGCCGATCGCTCCCTCTGACCCCTTCTGCCCAGATCAAAATGGTGAAAAACTAGAGTGTTCACAGGGACCCGCGACAGGAACGATTACAGGATTAGTAAAGATGGACCCGAGGGGGAGCTCTGCAAGTCTGCAACGCCAGTGTTAAACGCTCAGTTGATCAGACTGTACGGCTACACAGGGACGGAAATCTGGTAATGGAGCATTCCTCCGTCAAGCAGACTGAGCTACAGCAACATCCAGAAACTGAAAGCAGAAACTAGACGAGTTTAAAAAAGGTATTTTGATTTCTAGTCTGTCAGGTAGATTTTGATGGAAACAACTTACGTTACTGTTACTCTCTCTCTCTCTCTCTCACAACCTATTTTAAAGTGAAAAATGATGTTTTTCTAAGCTGCAGATATGCCGAGTTAAATTCTTTCAAATCAGAAAAAGCAACAAACTCACAAAAATCTTATGACCTAAATAATTCAGGAAGTCGAACCAGATGAACCTAGGTCTCTTTTGTCCTTTATAATCTATTAATCTAGTTTCCTTGCACAAGCAGTGGATTGTGACATGAAAACCTTCAATATAAAGGATTCTGTGTACAAGCCAGTCTAAAACAAAACGTTGTAAACAGTCACGATCATTGTTTGGCAGAACAGCTGCATATTTTTTTATTTCACTTTGCCTCTCAATCTAATTTGCTCTTGTTGCAACACTTTGCCAAAGAAATTAAATCACTTCTTATTGATAACAGACAGTGAAATAATTAGCATAAGAGTTTTCCACTCAACAATGCAGGGGAGGGACGCTGTGGGCAAGAACAAACCCCTTTGCTTCAAGAATGTGCATAGAGTCACCACAAGCTGTTCAGAGAAAAAAAAAAAAAATTCCCCCCCCTTTCCCCTGAAAGATCTCTTTCTTTCTCTAAGGAGTCTCAAGCAATAAACCAGGGTCAATCTAACTCAAGTATGAAAGTCTGGTTTGACCTTTCTGGGATTTAAACACACTGTACCAGAACATTTAAAGCTTTTCAGATACGAGGTTCAGCCATGAAACCACCCACTCCGAGAGTGCAACCGGTCTCAACTGCCTTGGTGACTTTTAAACTACATTTAACATTACAGTCATTTAGAAACTCTTAAAAAAACGGAAAGAAATTTTCAGCTCAGACTTACAAAAACCATTTCCAGAAGTGCTGAGGACCCGCACAATTCACTGGGTCCGCACGGCGGGCTCGCCGTACAACGCCTGCTGCCCCAGCAATTTCTGGCCCTGGCTCGCACGTACGCAGCGCCAGGCACCCGCTTTAGGACCTCTCCCAGCTGGAGAACTTCATGGATTCTACCATCGGGAACAGCCGTCCTGAACAATGATTAATTGCAGACAAAGATCACAGTCCTGGAAAAATGCGCAGAGAGGTGCAAGTAGAGACAAAGCTGTCTAAGCTCCCACAGTATTATGGTCTGGCTGGATCGTTTCAAAGCCTGTGTTAGGCAGAGCTAGTTTGCTTCAGGGCTAAACAGACCAACGTTAAGCTTTAAATGCAGGTATTGCTAATATCCAAATATCTATTTAAACGTAAATTTTAAATCCCAGGAAAGCTAACAGCCGATGCTGTTTAAATCTGACCTTTTTAAAAACCACTTCACGTGCTGACTTAACTCATTATGATGCAAGTTGCAGAAACGTTTTCATTACAGTTCAAAAACCCCCTGCAAAACAAGGAACAGATCTACACCGTACTTTGATCTACACGTCGCCTGCTTCGGCCATTTCCAGGAAGCTGAAATGCTTTTCACCTCTGTTGAGAAACAGCAGAGGAGCATTTTAATGGCGTTTAGCTAAGAATAACGTCACCGTTTCTTCCAAGTTTACTAGCAGGTTATTATTTAAAGCAATTGTAAAGCAGGCAGGCAGTCACACTGCTGGCACAAGCGAGGGCCAGGCGTTTCCAGGCGCTCTGTCTCGCAGGGACCGGGCGGAGGGGCTGGCGGCCGCCATGGCTCCCGCAGCCCCGAGAGGGGGGCACGGTAGCCGTTTTTAAGCCAGCCTGGCAGTGCGGAGACTTCTTTTTTTTTTTTTTTCTCCCCTCCATGGAAACGTGTTATGTTTTGTGCGGACGGTTTGTCGCTTGTTCTCGACAGAGCCTGACCCGGTGAGGACCG